ACCACTACGCCATCCGTGCAGTTGACACCATCTAGATTCATAAACAATAATTACTTATAATTAGGCATAATCTGTTCTATAGTGACCAGACTGCTGATAGTTGAGTCTTTGAGTGTTATAGGTTTGATCCCCACATGGGCCAACACTTTGTGTGATCACAAATTGTCGTTCTGAGTCTGGTTGTTTTTTGTGTCCGTTCCATGTATGTTTGTAAAGTCTCCCGCCACACAGGATATATTCCTAGTGTGGGAGTTGTCTTTATTTCACAAAAGAAAATAAAACATTAAAACTGACATATTGAGCAAGGCTTAAAATAAAACCGCGGCACTTAACTAGTGTCATTATAAACAACCGCAGTGTATACGATTATAATTCAACGAATGATTTGAAATCGATTCTCGACAAGTTAGATTGTTGCATCTCGATTATCGGAACGTGAGTTTAGGATCTTATTGTTTGCGAGATTTACTGAGCTTACATCCGGGTTCGTGTCAACGAGGTTAAACTATATTTGTCAAGGTATAGAATTGGATTTGTGGCCTTATTTGGAGCTCAGGTCAAGACTCGAAGGCCTGGATAGAAAAAAAATGAGCCAACGCGAGACGTCTGTGAAACATCGAAATTACTTTGTAAAAATAGGAAGTTTAAAAGGATAGCCTATGGAAATCATAAGTACAGTGAAATCAAAAAACTAACGTTCAGTTTTTTTTAAAGATTAAGATTTATTAAGATTTATTTTTAAGATTATATTTATTACGTGGCGACGTGGTGTTGCGTACGCCAATAGTCTATCTGACCTTCCGCATTACATGTTGCACATTATAAAATGAATTAAATTTGGATTAATTAGTTTTACTTATTTTTATACATTACTACATGAAGGAATTTCTTTGTATGCCTTTTTTAAACAAATATGGCGCGTGGTAACATATCATATTTGTTTTTTTTTTATTCATTAACAATTCATTACAATTGTGTCTTAATATAACAATTTAAAGAATACAGAGTGTCACCACCCCTATTCATCCCGTGGGTGTCGTAAGAGCCGACTAAGGGAGCAAACTACGCAGAACAACAACACTGCAGAGAGAAGGAAAACTTGAAACAAACCCTATACCAACCCGTCTGGCCAGCGTGTTATAGTAGGCCAAAACCTCCTTTCTAAGGTGAGGCCTATGTCCAGCAGTGGACTATTAAAGGCTGTTGATATGATAACAATTTATAATAGTAAGATAAGAAAAATAACAGATAAATAATCTCTAAAACAATTTACATTAAAACACAAGATAAAAACATTTTATATTACAACACACAACTGAAACCGCCCATTTTAACAATTTAGAAACTCAATGTCAAAATTATAATGTCAAACAAAATAAATCACTCAATGTCAAAATAATAATAAAAATGGGTGCCTAATGTCAGTCAGTATTGTCATGTGAAAGGGAACAAAAGATCACACAATAATTATGTCCATATCATGTCATCATCATCATCAACAGCCTATAACAGTCCACTGCTGGACATAAGCCTCTCCTTATCATGTCAATGTGATTATATAACTTTAACTGTTTTGCTTAATGTTTATATTAATAATAATATATAAACAGTAATCATCATCATCAATCATTAACAGCCTATAATAGTTTACTGCTGGACATAAGCCTCTCCTTAGAAAGGAGGTTTTGGCCTACTATACCACGCTGGCCAGACGGGTTGGTGGTTTGTGTCAAGTTTTCCTTGTCTTTACAGTGCTGTTGTCCTGCGTAGTTTGCTCCCTTAGTCGGCTCTTACAACACCCACGGGTGTACTTAGTGTCCGTTTCATGTATGTTTGTAAAGTCCCCCGCGACACGTGGGACTACGCAGGAACACAGCACTGCAAAGAGAATGAAAACTCGACAAAAACCCTATACCAACCCGTCTGGCCAGCGTGGCATAGTAGGCCAAAACCTTCTATCTAAGGAGACGCCTATGTCCAGCAGTGAACTATTAAAAGCTGTTGATGACTAAAATGTGACTTAAGTCGGAAAAATGTAAGCGATTAAAACGCCTCTATCTACCCCTACACGTATGAAGGTCTTGAGTATATGTATGTACGCTTATTATTTGTTAGATCGTGCGATAAATTATGACTGACGTTTTGTTTTATAAGTTTTTTTTGCACGTAACCAAAATGTGCATCTATGTTTTATGACATTAAAGATAAAATGGCGGCGAAAACGAAAAAGGATCGGCTTTATCTGTTTTTTATCCAACTGCGACAAAAGGAGGTGGTATTCGACTGTATGTTTACATGTATGTGTCCTTGGCACGTTCTGTAGCCTAAACGGCTTGACGAATTTTGGCGTTTGAGGTGTTGTTAGAATCGTCTTAATCGTGAGAGTAATAGTGGGTATAGATATAGAAAATTAAACTTTATTGTACACCAGTTTTTTTTGACTTTTTACAAGAGTTCATTAAATTAATGACCTTGTACAAATGGCGTCTCTATTCTATATACGCTGAATTTGTCATATTTCCAACTACTTTAATTTTCTTCTTATTAATTTCGTTGCGGGCTCCAAGGCGGGTAATTTTTCCTGGGACTGCCCGAGGGTTATAACTCGGTGTGTTTGTGGGTCACTGCTGGTGATCCTGGGGTACAGAAGTTACAGTGGTGGGTGTGTGGGAGGGATTAGTCCCTGTTAAAAATGGCAACCATATGGCTGAAAAGCCAATTCACACAGCCAAACTTTGGATGGACAAATCGACTGTAGATCAACGAATTCGTGGATTCGGATTACACACAGGAGTAATAATTGTGTGATGAGAGCTTGGCTTCGGCACTATAGACCAGCTAGCCTGGAGTGATACCACGGCATCACTGTGTTGTTGCTTTTCACAGAGTGACGGAGATTATCTGATCTTGTTGGTCTAGTGGTTAGTGATCATGACTCCTAAGTCTTAGGTCGTGGGTTCTATTCCCACCCAACACAAATAATTTTGTGATGAGCCGCACCGACACCGCAGTCACAACAACACGACACACTAACAAGTCAAATTACAACAGAACAAAATTTTTATATTTCAATATAAAATCGATACGATTCCGTGTCACAGTTTCGTGTTCAACAGAATTCCAACAAAACGTTACCTATATAAATATGTCCAGCTACACGTCAAGCACGAATACGCATTCACAAATGGTTCCGTATAACGGTAGGTCTTTTCATCCCGTCTGTATTTATTTATTTATTAATAAGTACTACCACATCATACATATTATACTAATAACTAGTTTTGACAATACGTGGCATTATACCTGATATGCATGACAATTAAGGTGTACATAGCATTTACTGTAATGTAGTAGTGTAAAAAGTAGTAAACTAATAACAATCAAACGAGAAAAAAAAACTAACTAAAGAAGAGTATACTTAATAATAATAATAAACTGTTTGAATTAATACTACTCTAAATCTATTTTATATCTATTTTATATCTTATTCACATTTGTTTGGGGTTAAGGTTGATGGACACAAAACATTTGTTATTTTGGTTTTAAATTCATTAAACGATTGGCGAAAGATGTCAATGTCTGGATCACGAGTTTGGATACTATTATATTGGTTAAGGACTCTATTTATTGGTGAATGTTGGCCTAAATTAGTTCTTGAAAATTGTGTGTGGAATATTTTAGTTATTCTATATCTGGGATAAGAGTTAGGAACCTTCACTGATATTTTTTCTATTTAATGTATGTATTTAACAGGCTCTGTGACAAATGAAAGAATCATTAATAAATAATTATATTCCTGTTTATGGTGTGTTTATATTCATACTAGCAGATACTTGAACGAAAGAGAAGGAACTTCTGCTGCATTTCTTCAAAAAGGAGGTTTTTTTTTCGTTTATGCAACATTTTACATTGATGCTAAACTTCTATTGGTCGTAATGTGATGTTATATTGCCTATAGTGTTCCTCGATAAATTTTCTATCCAACAAGAATTTTTCAATTCGAACTAATTCAAATAATGGGTCATTTATAACTCCGTTAACATATTAACGACAGTAGGTAAAATTAAATTAAGGATAATAAAACTGAATTGTTAACTTCCTTACTGTACGCATGAAGAAAATTGTGACAAAAACAGTATGAAACGTTGAATAGTTCCTAAGATTACCGCGTTAATAATATTTCGGACATCTGACACAACGCTATCTAGTTTAAAACTAAGCAGAGCTTGTACTATGAAAGCTAGATTGACTAATAGAATACTTAAATACTGTTTTTTTTTTGTAAATACATGTAAGTACATATTATACATAGAAAACACCCAAACTCCGTAACAAATATTTGTAGATCAAACAAACATTTGATCTGACTCGGGCATCGAACCCGAGACCTCAGCACAACAGTCGCTTACACTAGCACTGCACCACCGTGGCAGTCAAAAAGGTTTTGGAACTCGTAAAGTTTTGCTATAAAACAACTTTACGGCGTTTTTTGAATGTCAATGCTTCGAATAAATTAACGAACTGACAAAACTACAGTCGAATACGCTACCACTGCGCCACCGAGGCAGTCTAATTCAAACAAAAAGTTCCTGAGATTAGCGCATTCACACACAATATTAATATAGATTAACGTAAATGACAATGAAATAAGATACTAAATGCGCAATCGACTGCCCTGTTGGTCTAGTGGTTAGTGACCATGACTACTACGTCAGAGGTCTTGGGTTCGATTCAAACCCAGGAAAAATAATTGTGTGATGAGCGCGGTCATTTGTTCTGTGTCTGGGTGTATTTTATCTATATAATATGTATGTATTTAGAAATATATAAGTATTTTTATCAGCAGTCTGGTTACCATAGCACAGGTTCTGCCCAGTTTGAGATCAGACATCGTCGTTACATATTACAAATAATATGTTTGCCAAAGTGTGGAGAGAAACTGGAGAACTGAGCTGGTGATGAAGTTTGCCATGGGAGAGCCATGTGACATCGAATCAAAAATGGACCCGTATAGAATACCCGTGTTAAGTAAGTCGAGGAGGAGGAGAGAGGGGACGCACTTGTGACTCATAAGGTGTCCATAGGCGGCGGTCCATAGGAGACCGCTCGTTTGTTTCTATAACATGAAAAAAAAACAACAAAAAAAAATTATTCAACATAAATTCTTAGAGACGAATGTGAGTCACATTTGATAGAAATGCCAATATAATACAAAAGCTTCACTTTTTATTAAATAGAACCATTTACAAAGGAACCCTGATTCGACCACAGCTCAAAAACGTACAAAAAACCGCTCCCTGGTTGGTCCCAACAAAAAAAAACCTTGTTAACCAAGTATTTGTATAGAGCTGTTAGTTTAGTTTATAACAACTAATTTATGATTTTATTCGAATAAAAATCACGATATTTTAATGTGGAAAGTTTATTTTAGGTTTTTGTTTTTTTTAGATAAGTTGCAATCTTATCTTCACGATATATAAATTAATTATAACGGTACTTGTTTGTTGAATACTATAAGATTTTTACCACTAAATATGCTTTCAAATGTAAGGTATTTGTGATTTACAAAATATTTCGGTTAAATACAAAAAGAAAATACTTAGACTGAGCGGAATTTCATCAGAATCAGACCAGACTTATGGAACAATTTATGGATCATACAAAGTGTTATCTCATATGGGGATCGAACCCACAACACTCATTAGGAATTAGGCAACCGTTTAATCACAACGAATTCCGCGCAGTTAAGCCAACCTACAAATAAGTAGAAGTAGGTTAGAATTGACATCTAAGATTTATTTACACAGTTATAAGTGAAGCTAATAAAAGCTAAAAAAGCTGAAAATAAGCTACCTGAAGAATGTCACATAACATGTCTTATTTAACGATTAACTGCTCAAAATATTTATTACTGTGTCCATTATTACATGACTCAGCATTGTCAAGTGTCAAACAAAAAGCCTCATTCTCAAACCTCTTTAATATTAAATGAAACTCTAACAAAGGCACCCTGCGGTGGTATTAGCAACTCTACAACAAAAAGCTACTAATTTAATTATTACTGTTTAAATGGTGGGCGTTTTAACCGCTCTGTGTTTGTTTGGGCGTGGTTTTCTTTTACAAGTTATAATTATTTGTGTTAAGGGCCGTATGGGACAAATATTAAAAAAAAAATACTTTGGGGCTCATTTTTTAATTCAAAATGGCGATTGATAATAAGATATTGTCGTAAGGAAGTTCTACTTATGATGATGTGTCAATTTTGATAGCTCACTCACGTTTATAGACCAAAAAGGGTCGATAGAGACGTTTCAAGCGCTCACATGTTGTCGACTATACTAACTTCAGTCATCATCATCATCATCATCAACAGAAAGAAGCCTGGAAAGGAGGTTTAAAATAAAACTAATTTTAGTAAGACTTACGCAATAGGCAAATCGATGTTAGTCCAATTTTTAGGATGAGTTGGGGGATACTCTCTCAATCTATCTGGGAGGGGGATTAAATGGGATCAAAGGGGTAGTGTACCATTCCAGTTCTAAGAGTAAAAAACATAACAAATTAGCAAACGAACTGAGAACTTCTTCTTTCTTTTGAAGTCGGTTAAATTTCCACTGTCAGGCCGTCTCCAGTTTCTATAATTCCATTCCATGACCAAATGACTAAGGTTATTGGCTTAATTTATGATTTTAAAAATCCAATTCATCATATTCATGTCACATGTTCAGGTAGTAGCGAGCGAGGCCATCCATCACACCAAGTTTGCGCAATCACTCATCCACCGATGGCATATCTGCCTGATCAGGATCGGATTTTTTTTGATTATAATAAAAATATCCTCACCCATCTCACACACGGCCGTTTAATCCCAAACTAGGCAGACCTTTTTTAGGGTTCCGTACCTCAAAAGGTAAAAAAGGAACCCTTATAAGATCACTTTCTTGTCCGTCTGTCCGTCTGTCCGCATGTCACCACCGATTTTCTCAGGAACGGGTAGACCTAGCAAGTTGAAATTTATACCAGATACTGAGGTCTATGGTCCCTATTAGGTGTATAAAAATCAAGATCCTGAGTCAACACAATAAAAAGATATGGGCAAATTTCGATTTTTGCGAAAACTTGTAAGTACCAAAATTTACCTTAATTTTACAACTTTTTTCATTTTTGAGAATTTTCTCTTTACTTGTGCTCTAAGACCTTGCTTTTAAACAAAATTGACAATTCTAGGTCAACCAGAAGTACCCCATAGGTTTTGGGTCGAAAACCTATATGGTAGTTCCCGTTGACCTAGAATCACAAAATTTGGCAAAAGAAACGTCTTACAGCACAAATAAAGGAAAAATTCCAAAAAATAAAAAAAGTTGAAAATTCAGATAAATTTTGGTACTTACAAATTTTTGCGAAAATCTTCGTAAAATCTAAGTAGGTACGGAACCCTCGGAGCACGAGTTCGACTCGCACCTGACCGGTTTTTACGTGTGAAATCCCCCGCAGGCTATCACCCACCAGGGTTTGCGGCGGCGGTTATGTGTCGGAATCGCACCGGTGTGCCACTTTGCGCCTGTAGTAAAAAAGATTTGGGAACTACTGTTATTAACACATCGGGACCATACTAGGCAGACCCTGCGCTATGGTAACCAGACTGCTGATAAACATACTTATATATTACTAAATACATACATATTATAGAGAAATTACACCCAGACACCGAACAAATGACGGTGCTCATTACACAATATCTGTCCTGGGTGGGAATCAAACTCACAACCTCCGGCTTATCAGTCAGGGTCACTGATCGCTGGACCAATAGGCCCGTCGGCCTTTCGGCCCTGCTCACAGTTTCCTTGTTGCCCCCTATAGCATTCACCTTCTTCTTCTGGTGGTGCAAAGAACTTAGAAAGAGAATAAATTTTGAAACAGAATATTTCAGTTCTAATATACTCGTACAAACTCATTTATAAATCACAACTTACACTAAAACAACATTCTCTTTGTTACAGGACCAGAAAATGACAGCACTCTTCAGATGAAGCCGAGAGAAGATAACAAAATGGAGACTATAAGAGAAATAAATCCTCCAGCTTACACTGATAGAGTACCATCTCTAAAGGACGTTCAAGATAAGAATATTGAAATTGTTAACATGCCGATAGACTTTAGGAACAAACCCTATTTAGTATTCAATGATATAACAAAAAAGAGTCTCAAAAAAGAAGGCTTGACTTACTGCTTTTTAAGTGTCATCTTTAGTTTTATATTTGGTTTAGCAATCGGTGTAATTCTAATGAGTGGACAGTATGAAGAAAAATTTATAGTTAGAGAAAGAAATGTTAACCAGAGAACATTAAATTCCAATAAACACGATATTGACACAGAAAAAAATAGTTTTACAGCTGTATCTTTTACTAGTTTAGAGAACAAATATAAAAAAGATGTATATCCAAAAGGATTAACAGAAGTCATGAAGGATATATTAAAAGATACCAAAATTGAGAGACATACTCCTGTTATAAATAAAACTTTTATACCGAACGATGCAACAGTACTCTATGATAGTGTATACTGGGGTCCTCAAATTGAGAATTCAATGCCGCAAGGATATGGAGAAAGTTCAGCTGAAATGTGGGAAAAATACGTCGATGAATCTGAGGTGATTAAAATGGAATTAGGCTGCGGGAGAATGCAGAATCGTCTGGTGACATTCAAAGATGGTTTGCAAGCTTGTGTTCGATACAGGCAGAACACAGATCAAATTCAAGGAGAAATTTTTAGTTTTTACGTAGGAAGGTTATTGAATTTGACGAATTTAGCTCCGTCTGTTGTTAAAATTGTCGATTTAAAAGATAAATTATGGAAGAATGTTGCAAACGACATCGCATCTGCCCAGTGGAGTTCGAACAGGGCTGTTGTTATAACACAATATGTACCTAGTCTTGAATCTGCTTCCATACCAGATATTTTTAGGCCAACAACAAGACATTTGAATAAAAACGATGTTTTAACGATGTCTTTAAGAGAAAATGACACAGAAATAAACAAGCGTCTTCTCTTAGATAAACTGCGTAATAAGGAAATAAAACGCAAGCAAGATATAAAGAATTTCACTCATATTGATATGAAATTAAACAAGAAAACAATTGATCGATTCTTAGAGTTAGCTCAGTGGTCAGATTTGATAATTTTTGATTTTTTGACGGCAAATTTGGATAGGATAGTCAACAATCTCTTCAATTTTCAGTGGAATGTCAATATTATGGATGGCCCTGCTCACAATTTGGCCAAAAAGATGGACAGTGGACTACTCGTTTTTCTCGATAATGAATCGGGATTGTTACATGGATATAGACTGTTGAAAAAATATAACGTTTATCATAGTTTGATGTTGGATAATTTGTGTGTGTTCAGAAAGAGGACCGTCGACTCTCTTAAAAGACTGTTTGTGAATAAAAATATTTATCGTGTTCTTAGTGATATGTTTCATAAAAAAAACTCTGTAGTAATTAGAGATATTTTACCTTCATTGCCGGAGAAGAACGCAAAAGTTTTAAACGAAAGAATAGGTAAAGTTTTGAATCAAATTGAAAAATGCGAATTTCAGTTTAGATAGCTGGTGTGTGTAGATATTTCAATTATTATTTTTATATTCTGTGACGTGTTTTATAAGTAATACTTAAAGAAAAATAACTTAATACTTTTGACTGAAAGTTCCTACTTACTTTGTTCAGTCATTACTTAAATAATTTTCTTTAATAGTGCGATGTAAATCTCAATTTTTGTGCACTGTATAATAATAATTAAAACATACTTCAAAATATTTATGATTGTCATATTAGTATATTCGATATTTACCATTATTTTCAGCTATACCATACATCAGAAATATGTATATTTAATTAACACTAGCTATACAGTTTAAAGAGAGAAGGAAAACTAGACACAAACACTATACCAACTCGTCTGGCCAGCGTGGTATAAAAGGCCAAAACCTCCTTTCTAAGGAGAAGCTTATGTCCAGCAGCGAACTATTGAAGACTGTTGATGATGATGATACAATTTTTTACATAGATTGGTTTTAAAATTATTATATTCGACACAATATAAACCAATATAAAAACAATATAAATCTATATTATCAGTTGGTTTGTCTTTTATTTTTATTTATGTCAACATATTGGTGTTTTACGATTTTAGACACAAAAAGAACGGTTTTAATAACCGAATTTTGATTTTATGGTAGATGAAAATAATGGTACATGTATTTTATAATTCTTATTTATTACTTTTAATATTATATTTTGTATTAATAATGTATAACAAATAAAATATAATCATTTCGGAATTTATTGTAAATACTTAGAAAATAATAAATCTTAGGTTCCATGGTTTTTTGAGTGAATACGTAATTAAATTAAAATATCCGGCTATTTTAGAATATTAAGAAACCGGTTTACACATGGAACCACATCTCGGCCTCGTAGAAAACCGGTGTCAAGTATTTTTTATCACTGCTTTTCACCGAGCTTACATACAACCGTTCATCCCTTATTTTAGCCCCTTAGGGGTGAAATTTCCAAACATATTTTTAGTGCACCCACTAACAAAGATACAGCATAAAACATAAAAGGCAACAACTGTCAAAATTTCAGTTTTTAGCCCCAGCGTTTATGCTCTGCGTTAATATTTTATACGTATAGGTTATTAAACTGAATAGTTTCAGACACTTCTGGTTCGAAATGAAAAATTCTTCTGGTTGAACATAAGTCGATCATTTCGATAAGTTCCGAATTGATTTTGTCAAATTTTAAGTAGTTTCTTTTGTTTAATTTTGGAAAAAGTGTGACTTAAAAAGTGATAATTTTTGTAAATGTATTTGATGCCAAATAATTATTATTTATTGTAAAAAAATGTACGATAATTATAATATAATAATATAAACAAAGTGTGCCAGTTTTAAGCGACATGTCAAATAATTTAACTATTGTTATTTGATTTGAACATTGTTATGTAAAAAAATGTGTTTTTAATATCTAATAATTTGTACAGGTCATTGTTATAAGTGAAGTATTTAATTATATTATAAACATATATTATGGTACATATTATATTCAAGATATGTTTCAAACTAAGCAAGCTTGTACTATAAAAGCTAGATTGACTGATAGAATATCTATATGCCTTTTTTTCGTTTTCTTAAATACATACATGTTATACATAGACAACACCCAAACTTCGAAACAAATATTTGCAGATCATACAAACAAACTCGACACCTCAGCACAGACACCACTTTACCGCTAAGGCAGTCCAATCTATACTAATATTTTAAAGCTGAAGAGTTTGTTTGTTTGAACGCGCTAATCTCAGGAACTACTGGTCCGATTTGAAAAATTCTTTCAGTGTTAGATAGCCCATTTATCGAGGAAGGCTATAGGCTATATATCATCACGCTAAGACCAATAGGAGCGGAGCACCAATGAAGAATGTTTCAAAAACGGAGAAAATTTATTACTATTGAGAGACGCAGACGAAGTTGCGCGAGTCAGCTAGTTATATATATAAATGTCGAATCGTTACTAAACATTAATCAGTCTGTTTAGTTTTAAGTAGACCCTTTAAAGTACCAGGCTACCAGAAGTATCAAGGAATTAAATATAACGTATAGCATGAATTTTAAATGATGATTCGTTTCGTCATCATTTATTATTATTTATTAATAAATACGATTGACAATAGTCGCCATTTTATCAATCATCAAATTATCAATTTAAAATATTAAAAAAAATAATATAATTGTGATTAATCCCTTGTATCTAAGGCCAATTTTGGCTTCATTAAGGCTTTTATTTGACTAATATTTTGACTAGGCCTATATTAATAATTATAAATTCATGTACTGTCTAAAGACAAGCTTTAATATTGTAAATTAATGTGAATATGTAAAATAAAATAAAATAAGGTTTTTTAATGAATTTGTTGGTTTCATTACTCTACAATAGTTGTAAATAATAAACATAACTTGAAACATCTTACAAACGGCCGTCTGATCCAAAACTAGACAGAGCCTGTACTATGGTAACCAGACTGCTGATAAACATACTTGTATATTAAGCGCCATTTAACAGCTATCACCTTGCCCCTAAAGTTGTGGGAGGAACTGGTTAGAAACAGAATGAAGTTGCGGCAAGCTGTTCATCAGGGCATTCAAAATTGTGAACGAAGCCGTCTTGAAGCCATTGACGCCAAACGCCAGCTTCGGAAAACTCGTCCTAAGCCCTCCTATAACTACACTTACAATACGCGGGGTGAGCTTCACTGTGCCTCATGTGTCCGTGTATTCAAAGCCAAAGTCGGTTTTGGGAGTCACGTACGGGCGCAGGAGCGTAAACGGAGCTGTTGAAAGGTGACAGGGTGTCGCCGTCGACGGATACGTCTGGGAGGACATCATCATCATCATATTTCTAAATAGGCTCAGAACGCGTAATCGTGCTCAGCACATAATTATTTGTCCTGGGTGGGAATCGAGCTTAGCTGTCGGGGTCACTAACCACTAGAACAGCAGACCCTCAAAAATATTTATTCATTCGAGTTTTTTTTCACTGCTAAACAGGCAAACGAGCATACAGTCCGTATTAGGGATGCGATCTGTGTAGTAAGCCACAAGTTTGCCACTTCATCGGCAAAATGACTACCTTACACCAGTCATTTACATTTTAAACAATCCTTTGAAGGAAATATCAGAAGGAACGTATGCTATGCCCCTCCAATAAAAGGAAGCCACGTTTTCTCTCCTCCAAGCAAAGTTTACCTGGTCCTAAGAGGTTCAACTCTTGTGGTGGAGTTGAATCTCTATTTCCTCCATAGTAAGTAATACAATCTCTTGTGAATAATGGTAAAATGCTTATTAAAGCTACATAAGTAAGGTCCATTTTGGGTCCGGTATGGACTCATTATTATCAAAAAGTGGGAGAACCATACTTCGGCACATGTGGGGCGGCTCGATCAGAGTGCCAGAATAGAGAGCGTAACCCTCCTGCTCATTGCTAAAGGGAAGGAACACTCAAAGACATCAGCTTTAAATAAGAATATGGAGTGTCACCACCCATATTCATACCGTGGGTGTTGTAAGAACCGAATAAGGGAGCTAACTAAGCTGGACATCAGCACTGCAAAGAGAAGAAAAACTTGAAACTAATCCTAAATATACCAACCTATCTGTATAAAAGGCCAAAACCTCCTTTATAAGGAGATACTTATGTCCAGCAGTGGGCTATTAAAGGCTATTGATGTAATGCCTCAAAGGAAGGCAACGAACTTATGACTCGTGATCTTTAGGTGTCCATGGGCGGTGGTAGTCACTTAATATCTGGTGACTCGTCTGGTTGTTTGTTTCTCTATACCATAAAAAAACCCTATGAGGATCTTGTGTCTACAATTCAAGGATCACAGGGTCTCTTCCTCTAAAATCAGTTTGGGTTTGGTCTCCGGTAACTTCACTTACTCAGTAAAAAGCACCGAAAGAATTGCTGAATTTAAGCACCGGTTTTCTGTGAGAACAACATGGGTCCCCCAGAACACGGCAAAAGGTGGACATAATAAAATAAATTTATTTCAGGAAGTCTAATACAAACATAATTCAATGGTATTAAAAAGAAACAAGTATTTTGACTTAACGAACTAAAAATGGTTATTTCATTTCGTTGTATGCCGTGGAAGTGAGTACGAGGGTTATACCACCTAATCCCTCTATAACCTGCTTAAAGACCTTGGATTGCCAAGAGCTTCAGTGAGCTCTTTTCTTGAACGAATATCCAAAGCTTAGCTGGGCTCGTATCAAATATGGTTAGGTAGAGGGGGTAACACAGCAGACAGTGGAGGTGAGCGCTGATGCGTCGCAAGGAGTACTCAATAAACATATTCCCGAGTCGCAATTCCCAGCGCTGTCGAAGTCGTATGTGTTGTGTATGCACGGTAAATCCATTGAAACAACAATCATCATCAACAGCCTTTAAAAGTCCACTGATGGACATAGGCATCTCCTTAGAAAGGAGGTTTTTGGCCTACTATACCACGCTAGCCAGACGGGTTAGTATAGGGTTTGTGTCAAGTTTTCCTTCTCTTTGTAGCGCTCTTGTCCTGCATAGTTTATCCCTTAGTGGACTCTTACAGCACCCACGGGATGATTGGGGGTGGTGACAATCCGTCACCTCACGGATCACAATCCATTGAAACGCTAAGAAATAGTTCTAATTTTTATGACACAATGAAGGCCATATATTTTGTACAAAATCTGGTATCCTTGACGCATAAACTAGAACACGTCCTGTATCTTAGGCATCAGATACATCTTTGTAACGATTAATTATTGTGATTTCTTAATAATTACCTTACATACTCTTTGAATTTAATCCTAAAATAGAATTGAAAATATGACAACAATACAGACACTAACCATTAATCTTACATTAAGTAATCAAGAGTTTAAAAATATATGGTTGACAAAGAACTTATAGGGAACAAGTTAATGCTTAAAACAAGTTTTAAATACAAGTCACAGTAGCTAATACGGGCGTTAATCAATTTCTTGCAATCTTAATACCGTTATGACAT